CATGATATCAAAGAGCTGTAATATACCTTCCCTAAGCATGTGATCAACAACATAATCTAACTTTTGAGTCAAACCCATTTCAGGTAAATTGTTTGCTTTATGGAGAAGAAAAGGGGGTGGGGGAGAACAACTCTACCTAAAATTTGTTATCACCTTAGAATGTAAGTTAAGCCATAAAAATCTTTCTAGTGTTTTCTACATTTGTCCCATGACTATTTTTCCTGATGGTAGATGGAGAGCAATTTCGTTGTTACAAGTTTCTAACATTATTAAGCTATGTATGAGTTGCAAGTATACTTCTATGACCCCAAATAACTGTACAGAAATTTTCAAATAACTGAATTAATGGAGGAAAGAATTATTTCTTCTCCATTATATGTGAATTTCTGAGAAGAGAATAAGAAAAGTACAAATAAAGAGGTGATTAAAAACCCAAATATACACAAAATAGAAAGAAAGAAAGAAAAACAAACAACAAATGACAACGCTGTCGCGTGAGGTTCTCCCCCAGAGTATCTAGCACCGTGGCTGTGGGACTTTCGTGACCGCTCAGATTGAGACTTTGCCAAAGAGATAATGGTCAGAGTCACTCTGAAATATCATACAGCTTTACTTCATGTTTAGATGACTCACTATGTTCACCATCACCCATAATATTCTCACAGTTCAGATGAGTTCTATTAAAATGTGAGCACACGGTCTTTTTCTATGGCAGAGAACCCTTTTGCTGGAGATCAGCCCTAGAGGCATGAATTATGTAACTATAAATAGACCCATAAAGCAAAAAAGCAGAGCAGTCTTCAGGGTTAAAATAGCCCTCTTTATATCCCTAGTGATCTCTCTAGTTCAAAGAAAAGCATACCTTGTCCAAAAAAAAAAGTATATATTCTCAATTTAAAATGTTCTCATTAAGAGATATGGATAGTTCTTATTCCAAACCCAAGACAAATTCTGGAAATGGCACAGAAAATTAGGGGGTTGATGACTTTAGGATTTTATCTCACTGACTTTAGGCTTGTAATCTATATGAATACTTTGATAAACAGAGCCATCTGGTTGATCTCTAACTTTATAGCCTTTGGGCAATGAAAAAAAAAACTTCTCTCCACTATTGTTGAGGGCTAACCATCTAGATTAGAACAGATAAGGTGCTCCAAGTCTTTGTGCAGCACAAGAAGGCCCTGCCAGGTCTTCGGCCATTGTCACCACTGTTTGTGCTTCTTGTAGCCTCTGTGTCCTCTTCCATTCTGACCATAGCGACCCTGTGCTGCCTCGCACAAAATTAAGGCATTTCTATGAAGTATTGAAAACCTGTATCCCCGATCTAAAATGATGTGTGACCTGGAAGTCTCTAGTACCCTCTGCCTTAAATGGTGTATTAGTCTGGGTACTTTGGAGAAACAAATCCACAGCAACTCATGTATAAGAGAGAGTTTTATGTAAAGAAAATATGCATCATGAAAACATCCCAACCCAATGCTGCCCAAGCCCACAAGTCCAACATTAACCCATTTACCCAACACCAGTCCACAAAGTCCTCCACCTCACAAAACAGA